ATCCAGAGTAGCCACAGGGTGCTGATACCTATTGTTCTGAGGCTTTCCCACACATCCTCTGCAAAACCACACAATTTAAAAGAGGAACTCCTACCTATACAGCCCATGATTACAATATCACAAAGAGCTTGAGGATGTCACAAACTTCTAAGTACCTGTAAGCAGAGAAATAATTGTCGAATTCCAAGGAAGGTTACCTCTGACAGCCCATCTTCAAGCCTAGATATGCAGAAAATGACTTGATTCTCAAATGAGCTTACAGGAAATGGTGAAAGGGAACAGAGAACCTAAGGTTTCCTGATAGCTGGCTGATAAAAATGCTGAGAATCAGTAAATATGCGTGTTCAGTCATCAAAGGGTCACACATATCAACCTCGCCCTACCTAAGGTTCAGAAAACATCATGGAGAGGTAGACAAAAACACTGTAAGACCCAGAAGATGGAGAAGATAGGGAGTAGTGCTGTAAAGTGATGTTCTCTGGATATGACATGGCTGTTCCATGCATGAATTCAAAGCATTTGTGGTTACCTACAAAAGATCAAGTCAACCAAAATTCCAGGATGAATGGGGGACAAGCTTCCAAGATCCCACCACTGGCGGAAGAGTTGATGACTGCTCCTGGAGAGTCACTTTACTTTTAGGATGTGGTTCATGCCCTAGCAGATGACCCCGCATCTGGGCACATGTGGTCAGAACTAACTGGATTCCGGAGCTACTAATAATAACAATAATTTACAAAAAGGACATGCATTTGTGAGGGAGATGACTTGGTAAGTCCCAGGGAGAGTAGAAGGAGGAAGTAGAGGGAATGGATAAAATCAAAATACTTTCTATACATGTATGAAATTATTTTATACCCACCCTAAAATGATATTTTTAAAGACAAAAATCATGTTGCTAAGGTTGCAGAGAAATGATAACACTGTACATAGCCGCAGGGACTTAAATTAGTACAGGCACTGATGAAAACAGTATGGCTGCATCACAAATAATTAAAGATGAAACTACCACATGATTCAACCATCTCAATATTGGCTATATATCCAAAGGAAAATAAATCAGTATCCCAAATAGATATTTGCATGCACATGTTGATTGCAGCACCATTCACAATAAATATGAAATTACTTCTGTTCATGAACTGATGAATGAATAATAATAAAAGCAATATACAGCAAGCTGACAGCCAACATCAAATTAAATGGAGAGAAACTCAATGCAATTCCTCTAAAATCAGGAACAAGACAAGGCTGTCCACTCTCTCCATACCTCTTCAATATTGTCCTTGAAGTTGTAGCTAGAGCAATAAAACAACAAAAGGAGATCAAGGGACTACAAATCGGAAAGGAAGAAGTCAAACTCTCACTATTTGCAGATGATATGATAGTCTACATAAGTGACCCGAAAAACTCTGCCAGGGAACTCCTACAACTGATAAACACCTTCAGCAAAGTGGCAGGATACAAGAGTAACTCAAAAAATCTGTAGCCCTACTATATATGGATGACACATTGGTGGAGAAAAAAAATCAGAGAAGCATCACCCTTTACCATAGCCACAAACAACATAAAATACCTTGGAGTAACACTAACCAAAAAAGTGAAAGACCTGTACCATAAGAATTTTGAGTCTCTAAAGAAAGAAATTAAAGAAGATACCAGAAAATGGAAAGATCTCCCATGCTCTTGGATAGGCAGGATCAACATAGTAAAAATGGCAATCTTGCCAAAAGCATTCTACAGATTCAATGCAATCTCCATCAAAATACCAACACAGTTCTTCACTGACCTTGAAAGAACAATTCTCAACTTTATATGGGGAAACAAAAGACCCAGGATAGCCAAATCAACCCTGTACAATAGAGGAACTTCTGTAGGCATCACCATCCCTAACTTCAAGCTCTATTACAGAGCTATAGTCCTGAAAACAGCTTGGTATTGGCACAAAAATAGACAGGTAGACCAATGGAATAGAGTTGAAAACCCTGATATTAACCCACACACCTATGAACACCTGATTTTTGACAAACAATCCAAATATATACACTGGAACAAAGAGAACATCTTCAACAAATGGTGCTGGCATAACTGGATGCAAACATGTAAAAGACTACAGATAGACCCAAGCCTTTCGTCCTGCACAAAACTTAAGTCAAAATGTATCAAAGACCTCAACATAAACCCAGCCGCACTGAACCTACTAGAAGATCAAGTGGGAAATACCCTTGAATTAATCGGTACAGGAGACTGCCTCCTGAACATTACACCCATAGAACAGACACTGAAACCAACAACTGATAAATGGAACCTCATGATATTGAGAATCTTTTGTAAGTCTAAGGACACAGTCAGCAAGACAAAATGGCAGCATACACTCTGGAGAAGATATTCACCCACTAGTCTCCAAAACACCAAACAATCCAAGTAAAAATTGGGGTACAAAACTAAATAGACAATTCTCGATAGAGGAATCTAAAATGGCTGAAAGATACATAAGAAAGTGTTCAACATCCTTAGCCATCAGGGAAATGCAAATCAAAACAACTCTGAGATACCATCTTACTCCTGTCAGAATGGCTAAAATAAAAAACACCAATGACAGTTTATGCTGGAGAGGATCTGGAGAAAGAGGAACACTCCTCCATTGCTGGTGGGAGTGTCAACTTGTACACCACTTTGGCAATCAGTATGGCGACTCCTCAAGAAAATGGGAATGAATCTACCACAAGATCCAGCAATTCCACTCTTAGGCATATACCCAAAAGAAGCACATTCATACAACAAGGACATCTGTT